GGGATTACAAACTTTCTATTCAATTGATATTTCAGAAAAATTTAAAAGAGTAAAAATAGGCACGGTTGCTCCGGGGGGGGGGTTTTACACTCCATTTTATCATGCAGCCCCAGAACTGGGATTTTATTTGTGGAAATAACATTGGAAACGGTTATAGCACTCATCACGGCTATTCACTGCCCCCTTCGGTCTCTATCTCATTTTTTCTTTTATTTTTCGGCACTGGTCCCAATTGGTGCGAAATTGTTGTAAATGGCGTGAATAAAGGATCAGTTTACGCACGAGGCACTGACGGTCGTCATGATCAAGGAAGTCAAGCTATTCTGGTACAACTAAATAAAGGGGACGACGTTGCCGTGCAAAATCACTACAACGACCATGCAGTTTATAGCGATGTTGATATCTACTCGACATTTTCCGGTGTTTTGCTTCAGCAAAGTTACTTCCAGGGTGGCACAGTATTTGGATAGCTGAAATTGAATTGACTTTTTTTATTTACTATTATATCGTACAACTCACTTCCTTCAAATTTTTGAAATCAGATCAATATAATTATAATAATAACTTTACTCGAAGCTGTTTGACCTTTCTTCTTTCAAAATGATAACAATAAGCTACACATTAATCTTTATTTTGATTTGTAACATCTACCGGTTGTTATGTACTAATGATGACTGTTACATGTGAACACATATCGAATGATAAAACAAGCCATTTTATAGCCACATATGTGTTTTTGTTCCTCGTGGCGGTCGTAAAAGTCGCCTCGTACATAAAATCAAAGATGTTATAATTTCGATCATTGAAGGGTTTTCAGCAAGACATTATAGTGCTGTGTAAATCTTTGTTGTATATTCATGTCCTTCTATATGGCCATTTTCACTTTCGGTGGGTCCAGTATTCCTACTTGAATAATGTATAATCACATTTTTTGGCTGTGGTGTGCAGGTTTCATAACCTCTGCTGATTCCCTTTCAAAATTCCAATTTATTTATTTCCGCCCTTTGTTTCCTCGTAAGGGTCCACGCTTTTTTTTTATTTTGGGACTATACGCCGCCGCTGTTCATAGAATGACACTAACGCGACTTATTGAAGGTTCCATATAATCCACAGTATGAATATGTATTTGAATGTGAAATATTGTGAAGTAACCAATATGAATCAATTTACACATTATCAATGCCACTTTCAAACCACGTAAATTACCAAAAAATGGCCAAAATATGCATAGATAGCCTTTACTGTGTCAGTAACGCAGTAGAAATATAAGTGTAAATACTGGAAAATCACAGTCATTAATCGCACATGATATGTAAAATATTACTTGAATCTTAGTATATTTTTCTCAAGTTTGATTTTATTGAAATAGTTTGACTCAATTGGAGGCATGTAGCTTTAAGACGTGCGCACGAGATACTATGTCATGGCCACGAGTAACTAAGTAGTGCACACGAGATAATCAAGTCGTGGGTACGAGTTACTATGTAGTGCGAACTCAAGTGTCAAGTGTATGGTTGCACACAGGTGAAATGTGAGAGTTTTTATTTATCTCGTGCGCACGGAATACAATGTCGTGGCCATGAGTTTCTAAGCGGTGCGTACGAGATGATTTAGTGGTGTGCACGAGATACTATGTCGTGGCCAAGAGTTACTAAGTAGTGCGCACGAGATAATTAAGTCGTGTGTACAAGTTACTATGTGGTGCGAACTCGTGCACATGAAATAATTACTCATTCAGATTACACTATATACAAATGTATATGATTTTTTAACTTCCTGGTGCAAGATTAATCTTTTAAACTACTTAAGGTATTCACTTTAAACTTGATACATGTCTTTAGTATCATATGAGGAGGTCGTTATCAAAGGCCTATATATCAGACACTAATTTTTACTAGATATGACTCTTTGTGCGGACCATCCTGTGAAAACATTGATCAGTATACCATGTACGTACTTACGGCCTGTTAACCTTGTCCATACGATCACTTGAGAATGAATAAGCCCTATTTTTTTGATATGGTAGGGACATTGACCAGTAGATGACCTATATTGATGTTTGATGTCATAAGGTCAAAGGTCTGATGAATAACTTTAGAAAGAATAAGCCATGGTTTATATAACCTATATAGTATCTCGTGCGCACCACTAAATTATCTCGTGCGCACGACTTAGTAACTCGTGGCCACGACATAGTATCTCGTGCGCACCACTTAATTATCTCGTGCGCACGACTAAATTGTCTCGTTCGCACCACATAATTACCCGTGCCCACGACTTAATTATCTCGTGCGCACGACTTACAAACTCGTGGCCACGACATAGTATATCTTACGTACCACTTTATTATCTCGTGCGCACGACTTAGTAACTCGTGGCTACGGCATAGTATCTCGTGCGCACCACTTAATTATCTCGTGCGCACGACTTAGTATCTCGTGGCCACGACAAAGTATCTCGTGCGCACGACTTCACTATGAATGGCATTCTCTTTATGTATTAACCGACGGGTCTTTATTCTGAACATTATGAGTTGCACTATATATTTGAAGACATTCTAATACGCTAACTTTGTTCTAGCTAGGATACAGGTCATATCGGACCAGGTAATTGCAGCTATACCGTAGGTGGAACAGGACGTTTCACCCCGCAGACACTTTATCTCTTAAATTTTGAGCACCCTTCCCCTTACAGATATCTAATCCCTCAAAATCAGAAATACACTTCACCACTCATCCAAGTAATGACTTGGGGTGTGAAGTGTCTGGGGTATCCAAGGTGTGAAGTGTCTGGGATATGAATTGTATGAGTTTGATGTGTATGTAAATATTGGCGATGTGGTGATGTTATTTGGTACTGCATCTTTTCAGATTAAAAATTTGGTTATGTTAAATAGTCATAAGCATATAGTTGCTTGAATTCGATATTAGTTTGAAGATTTTGCCTTTGTGAAGTAAGATTTGTTTTAAATCGTACGTATGCCACATTGCAATACAATCACAGCAATTTTATAATTACATGCGATTTTCCTGTCTGTTAAATTATTTTTACCATCAGGACGAGGTGCAAGCTAAGCGTCTACACATTTTATTTTATTTTATTTGCATAAAATTTTCGATTTTTTAGCGTATTCTTTTAGCGGCGCTTCAAACCAGGTGTTCGAGATCCGGTCTAAATATAAAAGTTAATGAAGATGGCTATCTTTTCTGATAATATAAATCATTTTTATGAAATATTTTCAAAAATGAAAACCATAGTTCGCTACTATAACAACGTGTGTATTTACTTTCTCGACTCATTAGAATTTATTTTGAAAACGACCCGTGTCGCTGGAAACAGTGCGCAACTTTATTAAAAAACTCATTTTATATAATCAAAATTAATTTACCTCTTAATTTTTGATCAAATTATACTTGTTTGGACTGTCATCAACTTCTAGTGAACCAGTTTTATCGAGTAAATAAAAGAACATTTATTTATCATTTTGTCCAGTACTGTAGGTGCGCACTTGGTGCCTTATTCGTAAAGTAGTTGTAATGCGTTCTGTAGCTTTAACACACATTCGAAATGTATTAGCTTATAGGAATAGGAACAAAACTTAAAATGGAGTCCTGTCTGCTTTTCGAATTTACCTTTCAAATATTAGGTAGCTTTTTCTTACTGATACTCGCACACTTATGCTCTGAAGAATAAATCTATTTATTTTCTAGTGTAAAAAGGCATCGAATAAAGAAACCGATAATTAATAATGTCCATGTTTTTTGTCATCTTTTCATTGAATCACAATATATTGAAATTCGTCCTGGAATTTTTGTGTAAAGAGAACTCTGTGGCCACCGTGAACAGTTCTTTACCGTGACTTTTGTAAGTGTGAATGGAACCTGGAGGGCTTAAATAGGTTAACAATGTTAATTTTCAAAATGTATAGTGAAGATAACTAGTGGAAATGGTAATGTTCTCTGACCTGAATATGACCTTTATCTTGATAAGTATAAAGATTAGTCATTGGTACAAATGGAATTTAAAAATAACTTGCCGAAAACAGTTAACCTTTCCCATACATTTAATTTCACTCCTGTTTTTCTTTCTCTTTTTAAACGTTAATGAGATAATAATTTTAAAAAGTTTTACCCTTTCTGGTAAAATATTACTAAAATAAAACGTTGGCGTTTTCCATGAACTCCTAAAGACCTCTACATCATGTACAACATCAATTACAGATACGATGTACTGTTTTCAAAGCAATACAACACTTACATCTAGACTGTAATTCTATTTTTTTTATAAATCATCATTTAATCCACATAATTGAATATTGTAATGTATTGTATGTGGCTAAAAAGAACAATAGAGAAATTAATGGAGTAGCCACATAAATACTGTCTCGTTAGAACGCCCGTCCATCCTTCCGTCTGTCCGCTCGTCAGTCAATGAATCAGTCCGTCTGTCCGTCCGTCCGCAATAGGACTCATCGTTTACTTAACAATTCCCTGGACATAATTATACTAGTAGCCAAACGCACCTGCTAATAATAATTTTAGAGGGCATCCAAACGTTTATCATATCGAACTTTTATTCGGAACATTTAACCGATTTAACCATGTAATCATTCTTGCTTAGTGAAAATGGCGACCTTTATTTACAGGTGGTCTTTCAATTCAGATAACAAAACTTGCGCTATAACGAAACATGTGCTTTCATACACTTGGTCTTAATACTGGGGCGATCTTTTAATTAAGTTTGGTTGTAATGATATTCTATATTTACTTTTTCAAGTACTTAAAATCCTATCACTACTATTTTTAAAGCATTTTGCGCTCTCGCGTGCCAAAATAGCTCTAAATGCATGTCAAGCACAATAACACTGTATTGAATAATGCAAATTATTGAATATTGCCCGCTGATATTCTAGTCTAAATCAACCTTAATATAAGATATTGCATTGATAAAATGTGTAGATAGTTTAATCATTTGAAGTAATTCAATTTATTTTAAATCGAAGCCTTTGCCAAATGGTGATGTTTATACTACTAGATTTATTTCAATTTGTAAACAGTTCGATTTTTTCTTTTGATATCTCACCAAAACGTATGTAAAGGAAGGGGGTATTTTATGTTTAATAGCCTCAGTTCAACCTGAATAATTGGACGTAGGCTCGATCGTGGTGAAAAGAGGTAAGATATCTCCCATCATTTCTTGTTTTATATTTTAAAAAATGTTTTAAAAGATCTTTTTTATCAATATTTTTGTTTTAACAATTTTGTTGACTTTCTATCAGGATGTGGACATTGCTTTATTAGTTATCTTATCATCAAAAGATCTTAAGCTGCGATACACATGTATACATATATGAGCCGCATCATGACGTTGCGACCAGCATGGGTCCAGATCAACCTGCGCACCCGCGCAGTCTGATCAGGAGCCATGCTTTTCGCTATCAGTTTCTAGTCTTGTTATATGGTTCGTAAGCGAACTGCATGGATCCTGATCAGACTGCGCGGATGCGCAGGCTGGTCTGGATTCATGCTGGTTGCAAACGCACTATGTTGGTTTTGTCATGGCGCGGCTCATATATTGAAACAATAATGTGGTAAATGACGGTACACGATTCATTAGTTGTGTCGGTATCGTGAAACGACAGAAACTGTTATGTAAAATATCGTAATGTAAATATCGAGAAACCAATGGTATCGATGCAATTAAAACGTCAATGTTTCGATGTGTTAAATTATCGTTGTCGATATTTTTGAATATTTTGTGTATATAATGAAATATGGTCTTGATATAATTAAATATCGCAGATGGTGTAATGAAGTAGTATTTTCTATATAAAGAAGTCATTGTTTCGATATACTGAAATATTGTTGTTGATATAATGAAATATTGTTATCGTTATTCTGAAATACTGTTGTCATTAATATCGTGAAATATTGTTGACGATGCATTATATGGAAGGGATTATCCGCCACTCTAATTAATATGAATACATTGTAACTAATATGAAGACATTCTTATTATTTTGAAGACATTCTTATTGATAGGAAGACATTATAACTATGAAAACATAGTTATTAATATGAAGACATTATTATTAATACGTTGTAATCATTATGCAATATTAAGATGTTGTACTTGCTGACGTAACTCGAGTTCTTAATGAAATATGGGAACATTTAATTTACACTTCAATTCTAAGGCTGTAAACATGCAAACTATAACTAGATATTTAATTTGCTGGCTTTCAAATATTTTCCTTTATTTGAATTTACTTTCTAAAATTAATTTGACACACATTTTATTCTTACAGCGTTTCAGTATTTATTTTACAAAAATCATGGTGATTTTAGTCCCATGCTGACATTGTGTATTAACGGCCTGATGAAAACCATGTTATTCTAAACTTATTATTTCGACGCTAAACCTGTTGTTTGACACAAGCATGTATATCTATAAAGGATAAAACAATATAAGAAATCTTCGACTATTCGGGAACTTTTTTGCTTGAAAGTCAACGCAGTGATCTCCCCTGATTTTTTCAGCGTTAGTGTACATACAAAGGGAAGTAACCGCTTCAAAAAAGCGGACTACTTTCGGCATTTGCAATTAACAGCATCAAGGTCTGAAATTTCGCTACCATTATTTGTTTCGTCTGACAACCCAAACAAATAAAAAGGCCAAGTTTGAGGCAAAATATCTCAAAATCCGCCCCATACAGTATGCCACATGCATACCTTTTCTGAAAGATCTTCAAAAATGAGTTGATTTAAAGAATAAAAATGATATGTTGCGCGAGAACATGTTCATTGTTGTTGTATATAGAGCTAGTAGGCAGGGTATCACGATTTTTGACCGGATCTTTTCCATGAGGATAATTTTACGTCCGCACTGAAAGGGATCAGTTAGTATTAAACAACGACCTCTGTCGTAAGAAAACGCACTACAAAAATTGTTTTTGATAACATGAAGACGATTTTGTTTTAATGAGTCAATGTTAATCAGCATTTTATACTGATAATGATGTTTCGATTGTTTTGATAAAATGTTGAACATTTTATTACAAATGAATTAACACATATTCGGTAGCATCCATACACTGAATACCTAATGTTGATTTTAATGTGTGATTTTGAATTCAAATGTATTAAATATATTTTAAGGGAAATCATACCAATTTCCAGAATGAAACAAGAAAAACGTGTATAAAAATTAAAATTAACGTATAACAAAGATATATTTCAAAATACCTTAAAGTTTATAATTATAAATATACGAAATACACTAAGTCTTGAAAATAACCAAAATCTATCAATAAATTCACTATCGCAAAAGTAAAAACGGAAATTGGAATGTCATAAAGCATAATAGGTGAACTGGCGGATAATCCCTTCCATAGTATTAAAAAAATTGTGCCGGTATAGTGAAATATTGTAGATAACATGTCTGTAAAAATGACTTCAAATTGTTTGTGTAACAAGATCATGATATAGGTATAATGAAATACGTGATTCCATAAAATATCATCGAATCATCAATATACATCAATATACACATAAATGTATCATTGCTGAATAAAGTTTTAGGTATTGGATGGCTAATGCAATATCTCCTTTCTGAAGAGTATTCATTTTCAGTGAGGAGACAGTGTTTCGATAGGGAATTGGTTTTTCTTACCCCAACCTCTTCTTATTTGATGTAAAATGACAGGTACCTGTCTCAATAAACAAACAAAAAATCTGTTCATATACATTTTACATTGATTTATTTGAAGTTATTTAAAAACTATAGTTCATTATAATCACTTTTCAAGTAAGGAAAATATTAAATAAGTGAAACTTTTCTACAGATAATGAAAACATAATTGTTGTTGTTGTTGTTGTAAAACCGATACAAAAGTTGAACTTTAATTGTCAATATTTTTCAAACAAGATGGTAAACTTTTGTAATTTTTTGTATTTATGTCTAGAATATAGTAAAGTTTAATAATATAAAGTTTTAAAAGCCTTTTGAATAAGTGTCATTTATACATCTAATACCTTAAGTGATATTGTTTTATTCCAGACAATGACGAGATTTGCTGCCGTTTTGAGAACGAACATGACATCGGACAGGTGTCCAGAAAACTTTTTAAAATCGTTCTCGGAGTATCTTTCCAAAAGGTTTGACATTTGTAAAGAGGTACGTAAATTTAACATACTTAGGTTATGCTATAATCTAGTTCTTATAGAATCATAGACACAAAACGTCATATCTTAGTTGATTAACTGCTACTTCAATTGTATTCACATAATTATACACACAAACTAATAAAAACTAATTAAAGATATGTTCGCTTTTTTGTTAGCCAGTATGTCCTGACTGAACTGCTCTTGACACAAGAGTAATCGAAACTGAAATTTTGCTTAAGTTTACACGAAACTTTGATCTGTAAAGATGTAGGTACATCTGTAAATGTCCAGCACTGGTACGTTGTACTGGTACTGGTCTGGTACGTTGTACTGGTACTGGTCTGGTACGTTGTACTGGTACTGGTCTGGTACGTTGTACTGGTACTGGTCTGGTACGTTGTACTGGTATTGGTCTGGTACGTTGTATTGGTACTGGTCTGGTACGTTGTACTGGTATTGGTCTGGTACGTTGTACTGGTAATGCTCTGGCACGTTGTACTGGTATTGGTCTGGTACGTTGTACTGTTATTGGTCTGGTACGTTTGTACTGGTCTGGTACGTTGTACTGGTATTGGTCTGGTACGTTGTACTGGTACTGGTCTAGTACGTTGTAGCTGATATTGGTCTGGTACGTTGTACTGATATTGGTCTGGCACGTTGTACTGATATTGGTCTGGTACGTTGTACTGATATTGGTCTGGTACGTTGTACTGGTATTGGTCTGGTACGTTGTACTGGTATTGGTCTGGTACGTTGTACTGGTATTGGTCTGGTACGTTGTACTGGTCTGGTACGTTGTACTGGTACTGGTCTGGTACGTTGTACTGGTACTGGTCTGGTACGTTGTACTGGTATTGGTCTGGTACGTTGTACTGGTATTGGTCTGGTACGTTGTACTGGTACTGGTCTGGTACGTTGTACTGGTATTGGTATGGTACGTTGTACTGGTACTGGTCTGGTACGTTGTACTGGTATTGGTCTGCCGTCCATATGTCTTATTTCGTGTACATGCCCAATACAACTTATCTTTCAGAATGTTATTCTTGAACTACATACAAATGTGACATTGCTCCGTGGTGGTAGTTTCGACAAGGCGATAAATATCGATATACACCATAACTCGGAGAAAGTTAACAAATCTACCAAAAAATGTGTTGCAGAGGACATTGCAGATTTCATTTACCAAGAATTGGACATTTCAAAAGACAGGTACATGTCATATTTCTGTCGTTGATATCCATATATACCAGTGCAGTTAGGCAAGCTTGAGTGTTCGGGTGAAGAGTGAAAAAAATAGATCGTAATTTACTCCATGGGTAGAATTACGTATTCATATGGTCACAATGCGTTACTTCATGTTACTGTATCAAACCTTAAATGAGCCCAACTCTATGAGGTGTTCTTATTGCGGCCCGAATCCATGACCTTCTATGGGCCAACACTTTTATCTGCTATGTACGACACAGAGTAATAGGATGCATGCAAGTTCGATAAAAAAATTGACGTCTGCAAATTCAGCCAGTCTGAAATTTACATCAAAGTTAATGACATACATGTATATAGAGGATATTCAAGTTTTTTCTGTAAATACATTATTTATTTTCATCGAGTGGTATGAAAATAAATATTTCATGAGTGGCGGTAGCCACAAGTGAAATATGGTAATTTTCATGCCACAAGATGAAAATAAATCATGTATTTATAGAAAAAACTTGAATTTTCTGTTTATTATATACATTTTTCTCTTTTTTGACATTAAAATTTGAAAGACTTTCCCTTACAATTTGTGTACTGTCAGAATTTAAAAGGAAGTAGTCCGACAAGACACCAGTGAAAATACGGAAAATATGTTTCACTGCAGTGAAAAATAAATTTTTACAGTGAAAATACGGAAAATGAAAATACGCATTTTATTTCATCTATATTTCTCAATATTTCATTTATAAGTATATAATAAATCCACATATATCACTCCAAAACCAAAATAACATATAATATACTGGTAACGTCGCTAATATCCGAGTAATGATTTGCTATTTGCTTTATTGGACACATTGTTGCAAGTATCTTGGTTACATGTACATGGTACTAAAAGTAAATCAAGCAGTACTTTTGTTTTATGAACTGTTTTGGTGGTTTATGTTAGTCAATTGTCGTCTTTCTGTCCTTGCTATCAGTTTGACATTTAATGTTGACTGTCCTAATTTTCAACTATCACGTTTGATTGCAAGCTATCCCAATCTTTGTCGAAGACCTAATTCGTTTACGAAAAATGGAATGCCATTAAAAATAAGACACGTGTTTCAGAGATATGTTTCTGTTCATATTTACATACAGTGTCGAAAGTTGAATGTTTGGTGAAAACTATGGTGGCTGATTTTGGTACGCTTTTGTGCGTCTCGTTGGCGCTAGCGACAACGAGACAAGAAGCCAAACGGCGCATTGTCGCGCTGTAGTCTTGTCGTCCTGTCTCTAGCGCGGTACGCCAAACGGCGCGTTGTCGCGCGGCGTGTTGTTGCGATGTCACATTGTCGCTCGGTTCAAATAGGATTGGTTTATAAGCCAAGCGACAGGGCGACAACGCGAAGCACGACAACGCGCCGTTTGGCGTGCCACGCTAGAGACAGGACAACAAGACGACAGTGCGACAACGTGCTGTTAGGCGCTTGACGTGTTTTCGCTAGCGACAGGACGACAAGACGACAGTGTAACAACGCGCCGTTTGACGCTTTGTCGTGTTGTCGCTAGCGCCAACTAGACGCACAAAAGCGTACCAAATCAGCCACAATAGAAAACTATTACAAATAAGCTTGCACCTGCTTCTTTTAATATCCTCATATTTCTATTCAAAATATCATTTTCTATACATTTCAGGGTGCTTGTTTTATTCTTCGATACCAGAAGGTGCACGTAAGGGGAATAACCACGGATAAACATTTCGAAAGCGTCAGGAACATTTATCTCCCTTTAATAATAATGATTACAAAAAGTTTTGTCCCCTATGTAGAAAAAATATTTTAGTGCGTGTTCTTTTCTCTCTTATATATATGTATACTACTGCCAAAATAAATTTTAAATGCATTGATTGTATTAATTTGTATTACTGTAAGTTTGTATAAGTAAATTTGAATGGTATAAATTAGCGTTTGTGATGTTTAAAGTTCAGACAGAACTAATTAACTACCTACTTTACTAGGTGGATAAGTGGATTACATACATATGTTTTATTTTGTATCTTAAACTTTACGTTATTTTTAGTAAAACACAATCCACAATCCGTCATTCCATTTCATTCTTTTTAGGTAGAAGCACCAGGAAGCTAGAAAGATGAACTAATTTAGGGTTCTCGATTATGATTTAAAATCGTAGTGCTGTGCGATTATAAGTGAATGATTTACACTACTTTAGGTGCCACTGAGGTTAATATAAGTAATGATACTGAACTAAGAAGCAGTGTATAATTTAACTGAAGACACATTCATTATTCACATGTCTGAATGGGCACATAACTTTTGTATTTGGAAAGTCTAAAACACGATAATGACCAGAACATCAATTTTATAAAGTCTCATTCAGGTTGGTAAATAATTCTTAAAGTAATCAATTTACTTTTGTAATTATAGCAATAAGAAAGCTGCTAATATTTAAAAGATTGCTTATATTCTCCAAGCCTGATCACGTGGACACATAGTAAACATGAACCTAAGACAAGCAAAACAAACTCTTTCCAAGGAGCAGTGTGCTCCACTTTTCTCATTTGCAAAATTTCTAAATAAAGGGATCATTTGAAGTTCAGATCGTACAGACAGAAATCATCGAGATGCATACCTGCATCAGTCTCCGAGTCATAACTGAATTAGATCTAATTGAAAATAAACAAAACTAAATCCGAAATGTTAAGTAAGGTAATAATGACCTTGACCTTTAAGCTTTTGACCTTTTATAAGTATGACATATATAATTCATTTATATGCGTCTACATTCAAAGTTGTATGTTTCTTTGTCAGCAAACTTCCATTTAATGGCCCTGTCAGCACACTCAGGCAACTGTCCCATTTGTTATTTTGAACATAAAATGAGTGGGACAAGTAGAACTCTCATTGTACATCTTCATACAGTTTCAAGTTTTCAAGGTCAATGCACTTTGATTTTATGTTTTATTATTACAGGTCCCAGTGACCTTGACCTTTTGACCTCATAAGGGAGTGGCAGGTAGTAATCATTTTCGGTCCCAGGTAGAACTCATCTTGGTCAATGATCAACAGACATAAGTAGGTTGAATATGGGATACATAGAAACATGCTCTACCTTCACTAATAACAGAGTCAGCAGGGCTGACTTACTATTCTTTGTAGGCTAAGCCAAAAAGTAAAATAAATCCAATATATTTCATTAATTTTATTCATTTTTATATCAATCTTTTTTCAATACTTTTTTTGTGTATAAATATATATATAATTTCATTCAAATTAGATGGAATTCAATGATCCCTGAATAATTGACATGCAAAAACATTACATTATGTTTACAATAAAACATTATGTTCACAAAATTTTCATACAATTTTCTATACAATTTTATGCACAACAAAATCATCAACAACAAAAAACAACCAAACATTTCTATAAATAGCATATCTACAAAGACATAACAAAATCAATAGATCAGATTTTTTATAACAGATCTAATTCTATACATCAAAATTAATTATTTAGCAGTTATTGTCTACAAAATTCAATACTCCATCTTATTCACTTTTTGCATTTTCTAGAATTCCATATAACATGTATTACTTTTTATTATAATGTCAAAAATGCTGATACAAAAATGGTTCTTTGTTACCTCCCTTTCTTTAAATTAATGTACTTTAATAAATTTTCTTGCCCTTTGAATTACCTCCCTTTATTTAATTAACCCACTTATTTCATGATCTGTCTGTTTCTTAATTTCTATATTAACACACTTTTTATAAGATTTATTATCTCCCTTGATGACAATAGATCTTCATTCAAATGATAAGCGTACAAGTTAAAACTATACTTAAACAACTTATTATGCATAATCTTTATATACTTATCTTATAAAAAAAGTTAAAGATAAAAAAGTAAGTGTTCAAAGATTCCTCAACATAAACAAACAACATTGATGATAAGATTGGCACATAATTTTTTTGATTTTTTCACAAACCTTTTTACATTGAAAAACAAAGTTTAATGATTCTTTTACAGACCTAAACATACATATTTTTTTTTACTTTTATATCATAAACAAGGCTTTGCACACACTACTAAAATGTCTTTGGGGTGAACCAAGATTAGAGATTCTTTTGGAAATGTGCAGAAATCTGAAAGGTTAAAAATGGAAATCGCTTAAAATATCAATTGTTTATAAATTCTTCCATAGTACCATGAGATTGTCTTCCTTTAAATTTGAAAGGTAATCAATAAGCTTATAACTAAATCAGACATTTTGTACAATATATTACAAACATAGAAATTCAAATATTAGCACTATCAACTCAAGATATCTTGGCATTATTTCAAGGTTCAGTACACTTCATTCCAGTAATTCTCAACTCAATTTATATTATGTTAATATTTCTTGTTAAATTTACATCAATGAAAAAAATTAATTTATATTGAAAACAAACTATAACAAAATATAATTTTGTTTAAGGCCTTTCACAGTACTAAATTGTTGTTCAGTCCAATTTATACATTAGTTAAAAATATTTATTTAAGGTTGATTGAGATGAAAGCTTAAAACTTTATTGAACCATTTTTGAAGTCCACTTCCTGGCACAAACCTGTACTAGTGTCATATAAGGAAACATGGTGGTGACCCAGTTAGGACTATGATCCCTGGAATTAAATTAATTTTTACCATTATAAAGAAACCCATAAATTTTTGCAGCACACAATATTAATTTAAAGGATAGTTTGTTTTAGTTTTAAGTTTCATTTTTGAAACATGTAATAATAAATCCATACAAATTTATCATTTACAAAATTAATATGGCAAGAACACATTAAGAACACATTGCATATTCATCTATACTTTTATACTAGTCAACCATGTTTAAAAAGACATCATTTTAAAGCAGGGAGAAATAGAATTTTCTTTACTGTCACCAATACCAGTGTTTATTGTGATATAAAATTGAATAAAAGGCTATTATGTCATTTTGACCAATTTAAAAAGTAAAGGCATACATGTATTTTTACTGGTGTTTTTTTAAACATGCTTGACTGTATGTGAAAAATGGTGCTCATAATTATTATGAAATATTTGGTACATTTTTTGAATGATTCAATTTACACATCATCAATATATCTTCTCAAAACACAAGAATGATTACTCTGCATATACAATTTCTAATTATTATGAAAATACAGTAAACACTGAAATCTTTCTCCACTATCAACACCAGTCTCCTTTACAAATCTCAGTTGCATTGATTTGTTCCTATCCAGTAGGAATACATAGTAAAAATTTTAGTTTGTAAACCAGTCTGAAACTCTTGCCTCTGATTGGTTCACTAAAAGCTATGTTTTTAAACTGACCAATGGGAAAGCAATGTATCTGAGACTGGTACACGACTTTGAAAAAACTTCATTTTAGAAGATAAATCTATGCTCTATACACCAATAAGCAGACTGCTGACATATAGAATTTGTTTATATCATCATTTAATTACAACAGTTCTGCACGATGCTGCCTTGAATTCAAGTATCAATGTTTTATTTCACAAATTTGCTAACCCTGTTAAGGTAGTAATATCACATGAAACACTAGCAGGAATCTATTATGACTCACTTTAATAGCACAAATAAGGAAATTTACTTAAATTATCACACGAAAGTGTCTGGTTTATAGAACATGTCTTTGGTTTCCGATGCCAGTATATCATCTTGTAAATCATTTATAGTATAACTTCCCGACGTTGTGGTCGTATTATCATCATCCTGAGACCGCCCTGTTATGCTTTCATTTTCAAATGAATTCCCGAAACTAAGATTTGATTGCTTAGATGAGTGTAATATTGGATCAAAATCCATTTGACCTTGAACCGGTCCCAAATTCTGTCCATTATTAACGTTCATGGCAGGGTGTGGGACGTTACTTTCACTCGGATGTCTATACTGACTATATAAATTATTCCTATGTGGATTAGATAAATCATTCATAGGAAATGAGTTTTTATGAGCATCCTCACTTTGCTGTCTTTTTTGTTTTTGTTTTAAAAATGATGATAAAATAGGACCAGTTTTATGAACACTGTTGCCGTGGAAAGACGAGAAAGTTGGTTGATGATTGTCTGACGTGTAGAAGGGATGCGAGGTTGACGTGTTTGGACTCCGTGACTCATCTGAAATATCAAGATAAAGATAAAGTTTTAAATACAATTACCAGTAGTTCTTCAATAATTTAAAATGAATCCAAAAATACATATGTTTTAAATGAGAGAGCAACACAAAGTTAAACTTCCAATGGTTGTTTATCTAAATATTAAAGAAATCAAAATATCAAAGTAAAAATTCAAAACCGTATAAAGAACAATCACCCTTGTCATCACTTCAATCAAAATTGTTTGTGAAGCAGAAAAACATGTGCATTAATCTGTGCATAGAATTACCATTAACTCTGTATAGAATAACAAAATAGACTTATAAGAGTTGTTTCCCTTTGATAGAGAGACAATTTGTGCTACCTGTATCATGAGAGATTGTCATACTGCTACGGATATCTTCCTCACTGCCCCCACGTCCCGAATCGCTCGTAGTCATCTCCCCTGAACTCTCGCTGTGAGAATCGTCCAGATTGTGCCGTTTCGTCAATCCAATATATGTCCTCGCCGGCTGTAATTGTGTGATAGAGAGGTAAACATCAAACAGTGCATAGAAAAATAACAACATTACTTTTATCCTTTAAGGTCAATACATCCATCATCTATTTATGATAATTTGGCAAATTTTAATACTTCTTGAGCCTAAACATATAACCATCTATTGAAAATGATGATCTGAAAATTTGTCACCACACTGTATCACTAATACATACATGTAAAAGAAAGATAATGAAACAGGCAAATAAAAAAGGGCTCAATTTATAAATGGTTTTGATGGATGGATTCACCGTAAACAAAATATTCAAATATGCAAATTTCCTAACACCTTGTGCAAGATGAAAGTTTAGCTGTGTCATCGTGCAATTTTAAACTTAAGCTGCATCAATTTATTGCTACTTTTCATAAAAAAGTCAGAAAAGAAATTAAATTTATAATAATGACTGATATAGATGAAAACTGAATTTCAGAGTGATGTACGGTAGATCTAGTTTAAAATATGAAATACAAAGAAGTTCTTCAATTTACTATATTGTGTAAGAGAAAACTACAGAAATACAAAACATACTAGGCTACTTGTAAATTGAACACAAAAAGGAAACTGATTATTTTTGTTGACTTTTTAAATAAAACAACAATAATAGTTTACTTATATATCATTTACATATATACGCAAATTGAAGAAAAACCATAAACACAAATGTGCACAGTGTTAACGCTACCAACAACAAAAACAACAACAAATAAAACATTCAAATTTTGCACGAGTGTCTCGTGCACAACATTTGAAAAATATCCCCTGCCCGTGCGCTGGTACCTGATAAATAAGTTGATGACACTGTGGTCTTCACAGACATTGCTCTCCGAGGAAATGTCCAATAACCTTCCTATTAAAGTGTTAAAATGATTGTTGAAAAATACGATTTGTCTTAAAACTACAACAAAATTCAAACTTATAAACAACTAAATAAAGCTCCAGAAACATGCCTTGAATACTACCAAAGAGAACAAAGAAATCATGTTTAGAAAATGACCTGAGAAATTCAAAAAATTGAAAATGATACGATAAAAGAACTTGTGACATCAAAAAATACTTTTTAAATAAAACTGTCATCTTTCAAATTTTAATTCAGAATTTTTCTTTTCAACAATCGAAGTTTTCATAAATCTTTCTACATCAACTATCTGATATTCTGATACTTGACTGGGTTCAACCTTTCCTAATTTCAAATACAACATAAAATGAGATTGGTCATTTTCTTGAAATTCTATATGACCAAAACAATTAACGAATCTTTTGAAATCGGGACAATTTGCTGTAGGTGACAGTCAATTGTCTATGACATACAAATGACCGCTGTATCTATAACAGATACTTAATATTTAACTAGACCTCAGGTGGACCACGCTAAAGTTCAATTCTGCCATTTTTATGCTAAATTCGTACTTTGGTTCAAAGTTTAAATTACTATGGTTCAAAGTTGAAACTTACATCGGAAAAATCAGTTCTGTCACCAGCAAATACAGACAAATTGTTAAATAATACTGGTTAAATGATGGAAAATATGTCAACATAAAAAGCACATTTTGTTAAAAATTGGAACATGTTTGTTATAATTTATTTTATTTCAGATGTACCCAAAAACATGAAATTAAGCAAAAGAACAAACTGACATGGATAAACATAAAGTCACAATTTGGTGTTACCTAGCGACTTATTTCTTCAATCCTCTTTAAAATTAAAGTCATGTAAAAGTTAATGGTCACAAATTAATGAAATAAAGTCAAGAAACGTAACTTATTTTATGGGCAATAAGTTCTTCATGTTTTACACCATATCAGGTGATGCAGAGAAAGTTTACTGACTGCTAGTTAATAATTAGAGATTCTCGATGACATAAATATCTCATTTGATGTTGGACCGTATACTTCTCGCCCATAATTGCCTGATAATTACAAGTCATTTGCTATATAATATGTCATAAAGTTGTCCGAAATAGGTACAACAGTAACTCAACCCTTTATAAAAACCTAAATATTAAAATGTACTAACTAAATTCCTAGGGTATTCAAACTTCCTTTTTAAATAAATGAAAATATATTGTTACTTGATCAAATTTTTAGTTCATTTTTTTACATAAGATGATTTTCAAAAACAGGATATTAAAATAATTTTAAGTTTAATTTGAATGTATTTACTTGGAGAGATTATTGCAAGATAAGCAATTTTTCTTTGGGACAATTTTTTCTTTTACAATAAGTTTGTAAATAATTACTGTACCAGTTTTACCCATGAAATGTGAAGAAGTTTAATAAGTCAAATAAAGTGAAAAAATCCAGATCTATTTAGATTTATTATTTCCTTCTTTTAATCCCTTAAAATCTATTAATAATGCAATATGCAAAACCTTTATTTCAATTTAAATTTAAAATTGAGTAAAAACCATATAACTGTGACATATGTTTCCTTTCAAGAGGGCCTAGATCTGAGTTATTAAATTATAAATGTTTTGCAGCTGAATTTTCGTTCTCAAAGCAATTTATGAAAAGGACAAAAAGCATGTAATTGATTACATTAAATTGTAATATATTTCCACCGCAATGTTGTACAATCAGACAATCTATGTGCGGCCTTTATTTGTTTTTCTCTACAAACACGCAATATTGAAGGCATCTATCATACTTTAAAGCTGTTCCTTATCAGTAAAAAGCAAACAAAATTGTGAAAAACCTTCTATTATTTCATCCTGATTTAGTTTCATATTACATTTAGCCATTTGAAGTTTAATATTTGCTTGTGAGGGAATATATGTCTAGACGGTGGCTTAGCATAAAAACTAGAGAAAAAAACAAAATGTAAAAAAGTCAACTATAATAACTGTTCAATCTATTCATTATATTTCAATCATACTAGATTATGTCATTATCCCGAAATCATCTAAATTTGAGCCTATGTGTCAACAAAACATATAAAAGTGGCCATAGATCCTATTTTTGCTAAATATTTTCACTTCTGTATGAAAACAAAATTTAGTCTGTTTACAAAACCAACACCTTTTGTGTAAAAATCACGTCTATATCAACATTGTCTCCATTACACTTTCCTGTGAAGTGGTCACAATTATAAACAAAAATAGATCAATTATTGACCAATCAGATTACCTTGTTAGATAATATTTACTGATCGATTATTACTCTCAGCTCGACATCAAGGAGTGCTCAATGGACCATTCTTATAACTTGGTCAATAATGTCAGAAGACAAAACATTTTTGCACTGTGCCTTTAATTTTCATATCCCATGCCAAAAATTTACTTAAAATCTTCATCTATCTACTGTCGGTAACAATTTATCTCCACCCATACCTTGTAAATCTATTGGTAGTTTAATTTTCTAAACAAGGCAGGAACCACTTTATTGTTATATATAAACTATCGCTATTTTTAATTACCTCATCACCAGGAGACTGTGGCCATTGTTTGTTGTTATTGTTGTTATTTTGTGATTGTATCAGAGCCTGATGTACACGTAGGGACGTCATTCGATGAATCTCACGCTGTTTATCTTCACTTTTCTCCGATCTTGATGGTGAAACCTCTTTATTAAAATTCTCGTAATCTTGACTCTGAAATATTATAAGAAAATGTTTTCTTTTAGACATTATACAAGGTGGCTGACACTAGTGGCTGTTTTATTTACAATTTTTTATCCAAAAAAAGTTCCTGAAACTCATGATGGATAGTTTGAAATTCATAGCAAAGCTGTTAGCATCTCAAATACTGCAAAGTAAAGGCTAAAAGTTAAGCTTTTTTTACATAATATCTTCAGTATAAAACTACAAAAGAGACATAACTAATGAATTATCTTATATTATAAATGATGCTTAATTTTCCTTTATTTTGACATTTTGATATCTCTTATTTAAATTTTGATGTTGTCATTTCTTGGTTAGGGGAAGATTTCTATATACAATAACAAATGTAATATTTTTGGCTATAATGATGGTTAGCTTATTGCTATACTGAAATTAATGACTGAATAACTTAATCAAATCAGGAATTTGTGTCATGTACATGGCTACCTATCAATAATTAGTATATTTTTATCAGTATAAACATTTAAATCTAAATAAATCAGGAGTCAACAATAACTGGCAAACATTTGACCAGTGAAAGTTTACATACAATCTTTCTTCTTTTGTCCACCATGATGTAATAACGAGACATAAAGTCCAGAGCCCTCACGGACATCTTTATCATACAGAAATAAGAATGAGGGATTTAAGAATCTTATAAAATTTGTGTCATATATCTAGAAACCACAGTTGACAGGCCTCCGCTAATTGTAAGGCGATACCCTTAATCATTGTCGTAATATTCATTTGGGATTATTTACGTTTATGTTGACAGATTTCCTCAAGATGTTTGATATCCGTGAAAGATGGCTTCAGATCACGATCTTCAAATATGGCCATATTGGGGGCTGGTAAACACTATTCTCAACCCTTATAAACAGCATACGTCTTCAATTTTATAACTCTGTTAGCTTAGATAATATTTACACTGAAGAAAATCAAATTTTGAAAACCTTGTTAGCCATATGCTCATTTATAGAAGAACCGGTAATTATTTTCAAATAAAACCCTATATCAATTATAATGGTTTAATTAAATGTAGTTTTGAAATTATCATGTCTTATTTAAAACTAGTATGAAAAAGTTTAAGACAGAACTGCAGAGATAATTTTGTACTTTTAATGCTTAATAGGTCAATGAATACGTATTTCTGTATAATGTAAATTCATACAAGTGACAGATTGGGAATAACCCGGGTAAAGCTATCAAATGAAATTTAAAAAAATGCAAGAATTACTTAGGTATATTGAGATTTCTTCTCCCCTAAGAATTTATATGACATCATTAATATGACTTTAAAGATGTTCAAAGCAAATCAATTAAAATTCAATCAACTTTCCTTGAAAATGAAGATATTCCCAAGAGCAACTTATGCGCACAACATGCAAGAGGTAAAAATATTTTTTAAACAGTTAAAAACTTCAAATGAATTTTTTTTTAAATATATGAATTATATAAAAAAAGAAAAATTTCCAAAGTAGAATTTAATATATACAAGCCACTGACATTTCTACAAAGTTAAGAAAACAAATATAGAGCCTATAAAATATCTCTGAAGAGACTACAGCCCAGACTTTCAGATCTAAACCTAATAAGGCCCTAGCCTATGACACCAATGTATCCCAGGGGCACATATGTGAAATCTGAACATAATAAAATAATGCATACTGATGATTACCCAGTTTTAGTATTATTTGAAATCCCTTCAGTTTTAAAATGGTACAACCAACTTTAAAGCATGGCCAGTCCATAAACAAATCATAGGGGTGATTAAGGAGGTCACAATCAGATACTCTGTAAAGAAATCCATGCAAATACAACTTTATAATGAAATTTCAATAAGAACATCACCTTTTTTTATCTAAATACTTGAACATCTGTCTGTTTAAACTGAGTGAACTCAAGCGTTTATTTAATTTTTAAATAAGTACCCAGAATATAATTGTCTCGTGCACGTTCTGTCTGTTTGATTTATCGTATAAGTCATTTAGTGTCTGTAAATAACTGGTCATTTTACTGATGTACTTTGTCAACATAAAGAAAAACATGACTCACTTTTTACATTTGACAAAATTTGTAATTATAACATTTAAATCTGTTCTTATAAATTAAATCTTGATGAATAATATACATGCAGTTATGACAATCTAGTCATGAGTTAAAAATATTTAGATCTATAATGATTTAGAAAATCTGATATTTGCATTCTGTTTTTAATGATGAATTATTTTCCCTAGATATTTTATACCCATATTCACCTAAATAATTCTGTTTAATCAAGTCTTCGTCATGGAGATTTTAAGTAATCCCAAATCACCAATGTAAACCTAATATTATGCTATAAATAAAATTTTCCTGATTTTCTGTCTTTTTTTGTACTTGTTTTTCTATACTTTTAATAGCACTCTATCTATCTAATTGATTCAGTTCTGATTCAACATGTACATACTAGCTCTGACTCTAGAAGTCTAGAACTTGAACTATAATATATAAAGATTCATTGTTAATTAAACATTGCATGTGTTTCTTCTAAAGTTACATATCATACTTCATAAATCTCTATCCCTGATCCCCACTACTAGTATAACATATATTTTTTATTTCAAACATAAAAGCAAAATAAATGAAATATTGAAATAAATTTTTCTCCCAGTTACTTTAATCAAGTATCTGATTCCTTTTCCTGTACTTTCAACTCTATTGTCAGTGAAACTTAAGATTCATCTAAATTTGTTTTGTAAGTATTGTATGTATACAATGTATTTACATATATCAACAGAAGGTATTGAATGACACGGTACTTTCTGGTCACCACAAGATGACCTCCCCCCTCACCTCTTTCGCGAGTCAACTGACACCTGAACGCTGTCCATCATGGTCATTCAATTCAAATTTTGGACAGATTATAAATGGAAAATAAACAAATGTTGTGTTCAGTGTATGAAACAAGAGAATGTCCTTGTGGCCATCACCTTACACACAGTTGTCATATCCTCCATCTTTAGCAACAGAAATGTAGAAATGTACATGCCATCTGTATATTAATCATTAGTCAGTTCCTACATGACCCTCCATGACTATTTCATTGTCTTCTTTCATTGTTTTACTGATTTACTAACAATACTAATTCATAACTAGCATTTAAAAGTTAAACAAGGAACATCGCAATGCGATGCAACCAGGTTTTCAGCAAAATATTTCACAGAAGCTTTGTCATGAAGGGGCATTTGTTTTTAATTGAATTTTTAGGAGGAATTATGGCTTTTTTAATATTCCTCAAACAAAAATGATTGAGAAATTTTATTTTGTCTATTCGCCTTTTTCCCCCAAATGTTTTAGAAAGGTAAACAGTACTTTATTTTTGCTTAATTTTTGAAGTTGCGCACTGTAGAAATTGTTCACTATATATTCTGTATAAGGAAAAAATATACAAAGGGCCATAATTCGGTCAAATATTATCCAATCACAAAACCCCGACAATATGTGCCAGGCACTTGATAACAAAGCTTCTAAGAAAGTTTGGTCAAAATCCGTTGAGAAATGTAGGAGGAGTTGCGCACTGTAGAAATTGTTCACTATATATTCTGTATAAGGAAAAAATATACAAAGGGCCATAATTCGGTCAAATATTATCCAATCACAAAACCCCGACAATATGTGCCAGGCACTTGATAACAAAGCTTCTAAGAAAGTTTGGTCAAAATCCGTTGAGAAATGTAGGAGGAGTTGCGCACAGAAGAAATTGTTCACTATATATTCTATATAAGGAAAAAAAACAAAGGGCCATAATTAGGTCAAATATATACCAATTGCAAAATCCTGGCAATATGTGTCAGGGCACTTGATGACAAAGCTTCTGAGAAAGTTTGGTCAAAATCCGTTGAGAAATGTAGGAGGAGTTGCGCACAGAAGAAATTGTTCACTATAATATTCTGTATAAGGAAAAAAAACAAAGGGCCATAATTAGGTCAAATATACACCAATTGCAAAACCCTGGCGATATGTGTCAGGGCACTTGATGACAAAGCTTCTGTGAAAGTTTGGTCAAAATCCGTTGAGAAATGTAGGAGGAGTTGCGCACAGAAGAAATTGTTCACTATATATTTTATATAAGGAAAAAAAACAAAGGGCCATAATTAGGTCAAATATTATCTAATCGCAAAACCCCGACAATATGCGCCAGGGCACTTGATGACAAAGCTTCTGTGAAAGTTTGGTCAAATCCGTTGAGAAATGTAGGAGGAGTTGCGCACAGAAGAAATTGTTTACGCCCGCCCGCCCGCCCGTCCGCCGCCCGCCGACATACCTCAATCTAATAACCAGTTTTTTCCTTCGGAAAACCTGGTTAAAAAAAATCCTTAAGAAGTGGCCGGGTAACAATAATGAACGATTCACTAATCTTGTAATATTGCTGGGGTTTTTTCCACTCAAATTTCAATTTTCATTAAAGAGTGATATGAAATTAAAATTTTTTGAAAATCAATAATGTTCAATTTACTTGGGAATTATATCATTAAAATACACCCCATTAAACTAGAGAAAATGTTTAAAGAAACTCTTTTTTTCAACAAAAGTACAAAGACACAAATACAAAGTTACTGAGAGAAAGTTACATGGAGCCCTTAAATAAAGAAATTTTCAATGATCAATGACAATAGAACTTCCCCAATGGTATGTTTATATAATCAGAATGATTCTAATAAAAATATTAAGAAGTACCTATGTAACTAGTACTAACCTTTGATGGTACAGGGGATGGTGACTTAAAGGTTGATACTTTATCAAACTGGCCACCTGTATCCATAGTAACCCCAGCATCAATATCCTCCTCTACAATGAAGCTAACCTCTTTCTTTGCCTTCTTGGCATATCCATTCTCCATGTAGGCCTTTTCACTGGGGTACAGCATTTTATCCTGCGAGCCTCGTGAAGAACTGGACCGATTACTGTTTCTATGACCTTCCATAATTTTCTGTTCATCGTAAGCTTTAGCATTATATAAATTATTCTTTCTATCCTTTCTCTTTATCATGCAAATAATTGTTATGATTATAATCGAGAGTACAAAAGTTACACAAGAAATAACTATTGCAATAAGAATATTTTGTCCATTTGAACCAGATGACGTACCCAGTTCAGCACCACTAGCAGCAAGATAAATCCTCACATGTAAAGTGGCACGAGTTTCTAATGGATTTACACCATTATCTGTTACATAAAGAGTTAATGTAAATTGTTTGATATCACCATTTGAAATGCGTTTTGTTAATTCTATTTCCCCAGTCTCTGCATTGATCTTAAACAAACCTTCACTGTTCCCGCTTAAAATACTGTATGAAAGACGCTTGTTTTCCTTTTGATCATCATCGTCTGCTAACACACTGGCGATAACTGTGCCGGGACTTGTATCATGTGCAACAGTGACTGTATCATTATCTCCATAAGGGAACTCAACAATTGGCGCATTATCATTTTCATCCACCACAGTTACTAAAACTGGAACGCTGCTGGTACGTGGAGGATTCCCATGATCAGAGGCAACAACATTAAAATGGTAATAGTCTTTAACTTCCCGATCTAAAACTTGAGTTGTGATGACAGTTCCATCATCAAGAATGGCAAATGGGTATGAGGCATACATTGCTGGTATCATGTATGAAACTTTTCCATTATCACCAAGATCAGAATCTGTTGCTGTTACAGTACCAAGACTGTTACTGATGTTGGAATTCTCCAATATGGACATAGCATAACTGTCTCCTTCAAATTTTGGGGAGTTATCATTTACATCAGTAACACGTACAATAACTCTTGCGGTAGCTGAGCGTGGATTCTCGCCTTGATCTCTAGCAGTAACTATAAAAGTATACTCGTCTTTTGTTTCTCTATCGAAACTCTTGGCCGCTTTTATGTGCCCACCACTTGGATCAATTTCAAACATACTCATATTAGCAAATGGTTCAATATTGTAAAGAATTTGTCCATTCTGTTCAATATCACGGTCTGTGGCTGAAACCTTCACAAATACAGCACCTACAGAAATATTCTCTAAGATATCAACAATATAAAGTGTCCTTGCAAATATCGGAGTATGATCATTATCATCAGTTATCTTAACTATAAATGTTTGATTAGAAGACAGAGGTGGTGTGCCCTTGTCACTGCAGCTAATTTCTACAGTATATGAAGAAATAAGCTCCCGATCAAATTCTACCGTGCTTATCAGGCTAAAAGTATTTTGCGCAACTTCATTTGCTTTTATCGTGAAATTTGAATTAAGACATTCGCAGTTGGCCTCCCCATTGAGTCCTCTGTCCTCATCAGAAACAATCACCAAGGCAACATGGGTGCCGACAATCTGATTCTCTTTAATGTGAATATTGCTGGCAGGAGACATCGAAATTTCTGGACGATTATCATTTTTGTCTTGAATATAAATAGTAACTTTTGCTTGGTTCTTCTTTACTGGATCCCCATGATCTTTCACCTCTACAAAAAACTCAAATGGTCTGCTTGCAGAATCTAGCCTCTCTTTCACATAAATCTCACCAGTGTCCTTCTTTATTCCGAAATACTCCCTAATATTTGAAGAAACCGGAACAGAGTCTGCGAAATAGTAAGCAAGTCTACCATTTAAACCGATATCTCTGTCTATAGCTGATACAGTGATTATATTAGTGTTAACCTCAACATCTTCATCAATGGTTGCATTATACTCTGTTTGCTGGAAAAATGGCTGATTATCATTTCTATCAGTGACGTTGATATTCACTGTAAGAGTTCCGGTAAAAGCTGGTTCACCTCCATCAATTGCTTTTACATATAGTGTGTAATTCTGCACAGATTCTCGGTCAAGATTTAAATTAAGAATGAGACTTAACGTGGTTGTCAAATCTGGATTGAGTTGCTTTTCAAGTTCGAAATCCGTTCTTGCTGGTTCCAGTATATATTCTTGAATTGAGTTGTTACCAGAGTCCAAATCAACTGCAGGTGTGAGGGAGTAACTTGATCGGATAGAGGTGCCTTCTGGGATAGATAAATTCAAAATGGCTTCAGAAAATGTAGGAACATTGTCATTTATATCTAATACAATGACAACTATGTTAACAAATTCATTAACAGTGCCATTATTAGCAAAAAGCAATACTTTCATTTCACAAACTTTCTTTTGCTGACATATTGCCTCACGGTCAACTTTTTGCTTCAAATAAAAATCAGAATTTGGCCGAATTAGAAAAAAATCCCTATAGTCCACATCTCCATTGTTCAAAATTTGAAAAGTAACACTTTGCAGACTACCACCAAAAATTTTTGTTTCATTTTCCTTTAATAAAAATTCATTTTTGATATTTCCAAGGAAAACTTCCGCATTTATTTCTTCTTCTGTTTCAAAGGTCACTGTTGTAATTCCTTTTACAGACATTAATAAAGTCCCCAACAACATTACACAAAGTAAGTATATAGCCATCTTCATTCTCTTTGAAGTTACCTTTACTTGCAGAGGATATCCAAATAAACCATTTCCTTCCTTTATTAAAACTTTTTCTTCAATGTTAAACACTTATTCCTTTTTTTCTGTACATTTAAATGCCCATAAAATCCAACGTTTTATCGATTGTCAAAATCAGTTTGTAGTTGTCTTGATATTCAATTAAGTTGTCTTCTTGTTACTTCAATTCCTCACTTCCAAATCTGAAACGAGACAAGAAACTATGGTCAAAGTTGAAGTAATATTTTAGGGTTAAATCAATGCTTTACAAATCCTGGTTTTAAGATGATCCTTTAATCTGCTCATGGTATAAAAGTAACACTTTATAGTTTATAACACAGGCAGCATATCCCCACTGAGATCAACTATATTATATTTTGTCATTATACAGCAAATCCCTGGATAAGTCAACCTACCTATTCTTAATCCATTTTTGTAATTTTCTAATGACCCAGCAGGAGACTTATATTGTAGCAAGGGAAAAAAACATCGAAAAATGACTAATGTTTCCCCCTCATTTTTTTTATTTTGCCAAAAAAAGAAAAGAAAAGAAAGTCAAAAACTTATGTCTATGCCACCCATGACACTATAAAATAGAATGTTGACACATAAAAATTCTGGGTATTTTTCTTCTTTTTTTATGTTTACTCACTTATTGAAAAATTTATATTTTAACCTTATAACTTATTTACCTACTAAAAATGGGAAATCTTACATACAAATATTTTCAAAAATTTACATAGATAACCACTTACAAAAAATATATGTCCATGACACTTTGATAGCTTACCATTTTTTCCCCTTTTCATTATTAACTTCAATTCTTGCTTTCAAAATGCAAATTTTATTGTATCTTTTTTATTCACAGGTGAAAATTGTATCACCATGGAAAAGAGATAAATTTCTTTACAAATTATATCCCCAATGTATCATTTTTTTTTTTATATCTCAATGATTTCAAAGAAACCTTAATCTAAACCATTCGCATTATGTGGACGCTTAAATAAATAAATAAGAAACAGTATTGGTCGCCACTTTCATGATATTGCAGCAATTTATTTTTTCAAATGTCTTATCAAATTTCAGTTAAATCAACCTATCAATAATACTGGCAGGCTTTTTGTGACAACTTTATCAGAAGTATATGTCGAGATTATGCTATTTAAAGGAGCGTACAACTCTAAAATGATCAGCGGAATACTTGAATCCTTCACAACAACTCAATTTACAATATTAAAGACGTTATAAGGGCCTATTTTCCATGTAACTTGCACATTTCCCTAGCTAAAGTACTATAATGTACTAAATTGTCCACACTTGAACACCTTTAATATCATTTTATTACCAGTTGAAAATGACACTTTCGATTTATAGTCTAAAAACTAAGTAAACAAAGATTGCAAAAAAAGTACACAAAATCTTCAAATTTAAAAAAAAGGTCAGGTTTTAGTATAAAATATAAACTTAAAAAATGTTCCTTCTTAAAAAAATGTTTATAAACAAGACAAATTCTTCTCTGTCACAGTGCAGTCTCTGAGAGAAGAATAAAAGTTGAAATATTTAAATGCTTTTTATATTACCATACATGACTGGTAAAAACTGACAATATTATATCTATTACTAATGCTTAACTCTTCAGCAAGCAATGACCCTTGTAAAACATGTTTTGGAAACTTTTTGATCATATCTTTGAAAAAAGTCTCAAAACATTAAATATTTTCAAACCTGGTACAAAAAAATGTATATATAAACAACTATCTTAACACCTGTTTCAAACACTTGAAGTGGTAAAAAAATATCCAATTAAAATATCCATTTTTAACGGCTGTCCGCTGGAACATTAACCCCAGACAGTCTCCCACAACTAACCAGTACCACAACTAACCTGTCCTTTCAAATTTTAAGTGAGTAAAAAACACTTCACAATTTTTGTACTATGGTAGTTTTCACAAATGTAACATTCTTGTCCACACTTGAAGCTAGTAACATTTCTAAATATGGTTATAATTAAACTGACCCCTTACTGTGACCCTTTAACTCCACCTTTCAGCATATTGATCGCATGTGGTACAATTAGTCAATGATTACATAACTGTCAAAATATCAGTTTCTTATCATGTGAAATACAATACATACCAAATACATACCAGTATAGTTGAACAATAAACTACTTATTGTTAAAAAATACCATAAAATACAAACAACACAACCTTTAAAGTAAATGACATAACACCTAGTCTATTAGCATGAAACAAATCCTTTCATATATAAATATAGATACAGGATGCAGTCACTTTATCAAATAATTGTTATTTTAATGAATTGTATATACACCCACATATGGTTTTAAACCAATCACACACATGCACTCTGGCTTATTGTAATAGTTCCATCAATTTCCATTTTTTCCCCCAAAAAAATTATTTCAATATGGTTCCAAAATATCCTGCTTAGTTATATAGTCTGGTTATATGACCATAATAATAGTGCTGGTACAATATTATTACTACTCATGTAATGAACTATTATCAACTTTACAAAACAATGAAGTTAAAAAAAACTGTTTTTGTACAAAACGAAACTAACCAAAAAAACACTGGTTAAATCCAATATAAATATGTAAGTCCCAATACATATATATATTTATATTACTCTCTTGGATCACAACAAGATTTTGTTTGGTGTCTTACCAAAATTGATAATATTATTTATATATAATTATCAAAACCCTTATTAAGATATTTCAAAATTAAGATCCAAATTTATGTCAAAATAATGTCAAAAAGATATTTTTACTGCCGAGCAATCACACTCGGAACAAGAACCAAAAATTACCTTCAGGGTCTGATAATATCACATTTATTTCTGTTATCTTAAAGAATCAATTAAATTAAAACATTTTATATACAAGACATAAGATGTGAACTGTTAACTTTAACATTCTTTTTGTTTCAAATTGTAAAACAATCTTTACAATGGTGTCAGATTGGCAAGATAAAAACTAAACCTGTGTTAATCTACAGTTTCCATCAAAATCATTTGACAATAAAATTTACATAAATTACAAATTGTACATGCAATCATTGACAATTAAAAATTATCTAAGGCAATAAAAAATACATGTATACAAAACATTGCCAATATAAATTTATCTTGTATGGCAATAAAACTGCAATTAAAAATAATTGAAATCTAAATAAATATTAAGTGTAATTTAGACAAAAAAAGAAGATTCTTTTTTATATCACTTTAGAATTACAAAACAAAACATTTTAAATTAATAAAAATAATTTTTGATTAAAAAATGTTTTTGCTATTAAAAATAGTTCCAAAACAAATCACCTCTAAAGATCTGTTTTTAAACAAAATTATGCATTGCATCTGATTCACAAAAATAGAAATACAATAAAACAATCATTCATTATTTAAATTAAAGAATATTAATAACTTTCTACCTTAAACTTTTTATTGTTACTTTATACTTAACAAAAAAAGGCTCATGTACATGTATTAAAGTTCTTAATTAAATATGGAACATAATTTCATTTCATTGTCAAACAGAATAATAAAAAAAAATCAGAATTTATAAAGTTTGCACCATAAATCCAAAAAGAGCTGTATATATCCCAAAGTGTTCAAGCATTAATGATGAGTATTGACTATATTACAACACTCCACCTTCTCCTGCGTGGAAAATAAAAGGATATATTACCCTCTTAAAATGTCCTAGGTCTTGTTTAACAATGGTGTCCCATCATGACAAATATCATCCCAGTTTTAACAACACTTTTACACCTTTCTAACCCATCTAATTATAGTTTAAAACCCGAAGCTGACATAACAAGAATCTAAGAAATCAAAAAACCGATCAAGGTACATTTCACTTGAATTTTTTACTTACTGTGCATCATTGTTCAACCGTTAATTAAATCCCGATGTCCAAGTCACTCGACAAAATGAGAGTCTCCTTTTAAATCAACACTGGACAATGGTCATTCTTTCTGCCCTATTTTAATTACAAACACCGGCCACTTCACTAGCATCCACTCTTCAATGGTCAAACGAAAAAGTACTGACCCTTCAATTGTAATGACTCGAGTAATTTAAATTTAACCCCGAGGTGAATTTTTAAACTTCACTTCTCCAAACACTGTCTGATGCACAATAAACACTCCGTAACACAAATTACAAGTTTATTTCTTATCACCATCTTATAACCAGTAATTTAATTTCAATCATTATAAAAGTTAGAAAGCCATAAACAAATAATCACCATCTAACGCTGAAAATCCACTATTATATATTTGCTAGTCCCGTTTAAATAAAATCAAGACCGATTTAAATGTTGTCCTACGTCTTTGCGAGCGTAATTCCAAAAGTCTTTGGTAAACTTTGGCCTTTTTAAATCAGCATTATGAAAATCAAACTACTTTCCGGTAAGTCCATACTAATCTGATTTACCCGTGACTTAAATGAATGCACTTTGATACGGTATCTTACACCAATTGTCGGTTTTATTTGTCATACTCCAGGACAGTAGTCAAATGAACAAAATTAATGCCTCTACCATACAATGTTACAGTGATAAGCCCGATGTAATGAAAGCTGTATAGTAAGTTAAATATATAAGTAATTTTATTAACTTTTATTTTCTTAGTTTTATACCTAACTGCTAATGATTGTACCTCATGATTATTCAGATAAAATAAATCCGTATGATTTAAACCTCTGTTGACATGTTTGCATTACCCTGATAGTAAAATTTGCTAATCCTGCAGATTTGTAATTGAGAAGTATTAAACTGCTTGAATGATACACTTCAGAAAAGAAATTATTTTTTTAAATTTGCCAAAACATTTTGCAAAACTCCATCAATTTTATTTTAGCTTAACCGTGACTCTCCGAACCATTTGGGTCTTAAAGCTTTTATGACGAGCTGACCACTTAAGAGCGATGAAATATTGATATTTCACGGATAATCCAGTCCGATTTGCGAGACACTTCGATTTTTCATTTGCCGTAGTCTGTGTGGGAAATCACAAATGATTAAACAAATCAAAAATCCTGAAACTAGCGAGGAAGAATAAGAAATCTGTGCAAATATAAATGCAGGAGGCAGTCAGCAATGATATATACGTAAATCATTTACGCGACAAACCCGTCAATTGTCACAGGTGTGACAGATTATGCTAGCAGTGATGCA